AAGCACACCCTGATGGATCTTTGTGGCATGGGCGTGCAATTTAGCACAGGCTGGGGCGTGATTGTTTCTGTCCTTCCCAGCTGGAATTGTCATGGGCGTGCTAGACTTGACACGCCTTGATCCTCTTTTGGGCACGGCCGTGCTTTTTGGCACAACCCAGGCCGTGCTTACTCCTGACTCTTCCTTTGATTTCCTTAGCTTGTAGCACGGTTGTGCTTTCTAGCACGGCTTGGGTGTGCTGGAGGCTGAGTATCTTGCCTTGTAATGTTCTTTTCTATGCTAAATTCCTACAATTTTCTCTTAGATCAAGTGGGTTAAGATTCAAGGAAGCTTTGAACAAATTATACCAAAATGAATTTAAAATCAAATCAAAGTGATGAATTTAAAATCAAAATCAAAGTGATAAAAACTTTACGCTAAAAATTCTAATTAAAAAACTATATTAAAAAAAATACTATAAATAAAACTTATCAGTTTCTCATATTTTCAATTTTCTCTTAGATCAAGTGGGTTAAGATTCAAGGAAGCTTTGAACAAATTATACCAAAATGAATTTAAAATCAAATCAAAGTGATAAAACTTGCTAAAATTCTAATAAAAACTATATTAAAAAATACTATAAAATAAACACTTATCAGTTCTCATATTTGGGGATCAACAATATCAAAGTATCAGATAAAGAATCAGGAAGTGTACATGTCTGAAGCCAATCGCAATATGCCTCTGCAATATCTTGACCAATAACAGGCCAAAATTTCTAAAAGAAGGCTGGATTTGATCCATCCAGCCTAGGGGCCTTATCTGGATGCATTTGGAACACAGTTGCCTTCACTTCATCTTACATTACCATCGTAGTTAAAGGGCTGTTATCTTCTTCTGAGACTTTTGTTTGGACTAGATTTAGGACTTGCTCTTTATCCGACAGTGAATTTGCAAACAAGGAATTGAAATAACTTAAAAACATTTGCTGAATAGTCGAGTTATCTGTTACCCATTCTCCATATTCATTACACAATCGTGTTATAGCATTATTTCACCTCCTAATTTTAATCCTAGCATGGAAGAATTTACTATTTTTATCCCCACATTGAATCCAGAACTGGTTAGCAAATTGTCTCCTATGAATGTCCTCCTGTGTAAGCGAAGTACTCCATTCTTCCTTAAGTCGAAACTCATCTATCCAACCTATATATTCCTTCCCTAATTCCAGCAAATTCTTAATACACCGCTTTTTCCTCTAAAATCTGAGTTTGTATTCTAACCTTAACTTCGTAACACTTCCATACAATTATCACGTTTAGCCATTATGCCTACACCTATGTCAGATACCCAGCCCTTCTCAACTATTGACCCCAGCTCATCATCAAGGAGCCAACTGTTATCAAACCGAAACCTACAATTTCCCCTAATCTGTATCGCTGCATTTGTTTCAACCAGCAGAATGTCATGATCTGAAACTGGAGCAACAAGAGCTTTGACAATGGCAAAATTAAAAATACTAGACCAACTCGTCGATGCCATAGCTCTGTCAAGTCTATCCCTCGTTATAATCAAATTATCCCACTTCAAGCTCCACATAAAATTATAACTGATACAGGAAGGTCACAAAGCCCATAAGCCCCAACTGCTTCCCTGAACCTAGTCACCAGAAACCGTGGGTAAGGATTACCTCCAATTTTTTCATCTTCTGATATTAAATCATGAAAATCTCCAACAACTAGCCATGGTCGATCATCCCTATTTGCCAAGGCTCGGAGAAGATTCCATGAGGTTCTTCTACGATTCCTATCCGATATACCATAATACCCTATTATACGTCACTGTCGATCACTAGAAGACACCACTCCAGTAATTCAGTTCTGTGAATATCCCATAATTGAGTACTTAATAGTATTGTTCCACAAAAAAGCTAAACCTCAGCTTCTCCCTATGCTATTGACTGTAAAGCAATTGTTAAAACCAAGTGACCTGCGAACCTCATCCATTCTAGTACCATTCACCAATATCTCCATTAAAAACACCCAATCTAGCTTATAACTTAAGGAAAATCCCTAAGAACATTGACTATGCAAGGGTTGCCAAGCCCTTGATAGTTCCAGCTAAACAACTTCATGGCTTTCGACCAACCCGCTTCATAGGATCGGCCGATATCTTCGAAATCACTAGTTGAGAAGTGACAATAGAACTATTAGACAAATCCTTTGGTAAAGAAATGCCAGTATTGGTGGTATGATTATTGTTTCTAGGTGTTATCATCGGGTTTTATAAGACACACATCCTCCTCTAAGCCCATGTATGTTTCATACTCGGTCAGTGCATTATCTGTTTCCCTAAGGTTTCCCACTTCGTTATTGTGGAACAACATATTACCATAAAATTATAAATAAAAATACTGTGCTTTTTAATCGAATACAGTACAACATTCCCTCCTCCATTAGAAACAGGCTCAACACGATGGGGTCCTTGATTATTATGACTATGTAACCATGGATTCTGTGGTTGAATCGAACACTTTGCCGATACTCTAATACGATCATCTCAGATTGCTACCAACTCCTCCTTCTTGTGGCTTAACCGGAGATTGCAAAACGAGTCATATGCCCCAACTTTCTACATAAATAACAGAATATCGGCAACCTTTCTTAATGGAACTGGACATCAAATGCAGCACCATTTGAGTCCACTATCTTCTTCTTCCTTCTCTATAGTTTCTGGATATCAATTCGCACACTTATACACATAAACTTATTGTACAAGGAGGAGATAAGTCTGGTATCATACTGAATAAACTCCCCCACAAAGTTACCAATAGCCTTTGCCATCTCCTCATTTATATAACGATGTTGAATATCATGAACTTGCACCCAAAATTTCGAAAATAGAAGAAGAACATGTAAGGGATCCTCATCATCCTTCATTGGACTCCACGCCAACAAGTGATGATTAAAGGTTCATGGGGCCCCTTCAACAACTTTACCAAAATCTACTTGGTTAAAGAATCTGAATAAGAGTCATTTTGCACTCAGATCAGAGATATCCACACTACCAAGCGGATGCCACAAATCTGCGAATGTATAGCACATTACCTAGTATTTTATTGAGCTATATGTAATAAACATACCCACTAGGCAAATTTCATAGGACATAAGTTTTGCCGTCAAAGGAGCTAAAACTTGAAGATATGCATCTTCCTCAGCATCAGCATCAAGGGATAAGCTTGAGAAATGGTGTTCCACCTTATGAGATTAGGTCTAGTATGGGGAAAGGATATGGCTGAAGAAAAGAAAAGGTAATAGGAAGAGAAAGGTTGGATGTGTTTTAGGGTTTAATATGAAAGCTGGCTCACAAGGAATTAGGGTTTTTGGAAACGTAAGATGAACTACATGCTACAAAGAGTACAAAGAGCATACGAAAATCGGCTTTAATAAATTACTATTGATAGATTATACCTCTTAGAAAATGATTTTGTTAGAGAATTATATTTTATGAAAAATAGGTCATTTTAACCAAATCACGCCTTACTTTCCCAATTGCCTACAACACAAAAATTCTCTCGTATTTAAATTATCCTCCCTAACCCTAATTTTGTTTATTAGTATTTCTTTTTCTGATAAATGAAAACCCAAGACTTGGCCATTTTCCCAACCACACTAAAACAAAGTAAACCAGTTGATATACCCTGAACTTTATGAGTTGTATTGATTGTACCCTAAAGTGACCTTAACCCCTCAGACACATTAATTTCACCTTTTTGTTAAAATTACACCCTAAATTCAAACTGGTCAAAATTGCACAATAAACAAATAATATTTGTAGGCCTCATACATGCACTTGAGTTGGGTTAACACAAAACGCAACGTTTCATTATTGTCCTTTCTCCCCTCTTTTCTTCCTCATCGATCTCCCTTCCCACTTTCTCTCTCTATCATGGAACCACAGTTAGATCCATGCAACTCTCTCATCTCTCTCTTTTGGTCTCTCTTTCTTTTTCAAAATTGTTTGGGTCATGTAAACTTCAAGTAATTTAGGGTTCTTTTTGATTTGGGTATAGTCTATCGTTTCTGCTAGTTTAATTCTTTAAAGCAAAGGTCTGAGAATTGAGATGGAATCCACTACTGAGATGAGTCAAAGCTTTAATCATTTCAACAATGAATGAATTAAGTGTTTTCTGGTGCCAAAATCAAAGAATTGTTTTTCTTGTATAACTATTTTGTATTTGTGATGGTTCATGTGAGATTAAATTTATAGGTTTTGACATTTGTCTTTACCTTTTGATTCTATATCCACTCATTTTACTGGAAATCGCATGGATAATATTATCAATTTATTCTATTTTGAGAATTATTGCAGTTAGTGAGCTTTTTCTTTTTATCTTTTTTTCATTCTTTTTTATGTGAGATTTTCTGGGTTTTGCATTGGAGGGTTAATTTAGTTATGTAGGATCTACTTGAATTACAATCTTTTTCGCATTTTTTGTTAGACAACTAGAGATTTTGGAGTATTTGTTTTTGACTTTTCTTGAAATTTGTTTCGTTTTAATTGTTTATTCAATTACAATGACTTTTGAGTTTTTATATTTATGATTTTTTAGTTTTTTTTTTAATTATTGGTTGTTAACTAATCATTTCAAAAAAGTTTGATTCTTTGAGATGATGGATATAGTACTTTTAGTGTTTGGAATTATTTCCAACTCTTTGCAAGTCCTAATGTTGGATCAAGGATGAAGAAAGAGGAAAAATAACGAAGGATTGATACGCACCGTTTTTGTTAACCATATCCTATGTTAACTAACTATAGTTGTATGTATGGACCCGTCAATATTATTTGTTTATTGTGTAATTTTGGCCGGTTTGAAATTAGAGTGTAATTTTAACAAAAAGGGTAAAAATGGGGTGCGGGGTTAATGTGATTTTAGAGTCCAATCAATACAACCCATACGGTTCAGGTACATCAGCGGTTTACTCGCTAAAACAAAACCTCTTGATATTTTTCCCTCGCTTGCCAATTCCCAATTAAGAGACAAAACACGCCCAATACCCAACCCAGAAGTCCTCTACAACTCCTCCTCTCTCTCTGTCTCTCTCTCTGCTAGCTTTGGTGAGGGTTATCTAACCCTATCTATTATGGAGGGAAAAGCTCTCCTTCGCTCGCTTTCTTGTTCCTCTCTTGCTTGCAACAGATTCTTTTTCTCTAAAAGACTCCCTCGCTCTTTACCTACCTTCTCCTCCTCCTCCTCCTCCTCCTCCGGTTCTCGCATTCTTTACCGTTCAACTTCTAGTTTCACCAGACGCTCCGCACTCCGACACCACTGGAAGCTATTCGCTCTCGCCGCCAACGCTTCTTCTAGTTCTTATCGCTTTAATAAACACTTCTCCTCTCTTTCCACCGCAGCTATCGGCACCCATCCTGCTCAGTCCTCTCCATGTAATTTCATTTTTTTGAGCTCTTTTTTTTTTTTTTTTTTTTTTTTTTTTTTTTTTTTCTCTCTCTGGTCTCTCTCCCTCTGCTAGCTTTGGTGAGGGTTATCTAACCCTCAGATCTATTATGGAGGAAAAGCTCTCCTCCGTTCGCTTTCCTTGGTTCCTCTCTTGCTAAACCAAAACTTCCTCTAAAAGACTTCCCTCGCTCTTACTACCCTTCTCCTCCTCCCCTCCTCCTCCTCCTCCCGTCTCGTCACCTTACCGTTTTCAACTTTCTAGTTTCACCCAGACGCTCCCGCACTCCCGACACCACTGGAACGCTATTCCCGCTTTCCCGCCGCCAACGCTTCCTTCTCAGTTGCTTATCGCTAAAACACCCCCCCCAACCGCCGGCGTATCGGACCATCCTGCATCAGTCCTCTCCATTGTAATTTCCATTTTTTTGAGCTCTTTTTTTTTTTTTTTTTTTTTTTTTTTTCTTTTTTTTGCACATTTTGAAAGTGAAAAGTGTTATCAGTTTTTTTTTTTTTTTTTTTTTTTTTTTTTTTTTTTTGAATTTTGAAATGAAAAGTGTTATCAGATATTGAAGATTATTATTCTATTATTTAATTGTGTGGTTGCAGATGTTGGTAGTGTGCCGAATGAGGTTGCTGAGAAGCTTGGCTTTGAGAAAGTATCGGAAGAGTTCATTGGAGAGTGTAAATCAAAGGCTGTGTTGTTTAAACATAAGAAAACTGGTGCTGAAGTCATGTCGGTTTCGAATGATGATGAGAATAAAGTTTTTGGCATTGTTTTTCGTACTCCTCCGTAAGTATAATAGCCGACTTAATTCAATTTGATGCCAAGGCTGTTATATATGATTACTGTTTTAGAGTTGTTGCTATGTTGTTGAATTGGAACAAGATGTGGACTTGTCTGAGTATTTGATAATGATGAAGTCTTCAATATGTGAAAATATTGGTTATATGATATTTCATTTTTTTATAATAAATAATTATCAATACTTTCCATTAAGCCAATTTCATGTATAAAAGCTTTTCGAAATGAGCACTCAAAGTTCTTGTGCATTCAATCTTGGCTATTATTATTGTTTGTAGTGCATTTACATGTCCATATGCATGTGCATACACCCTTGGAGTTAAAGAAGAAAACCATTTATTTTGTTTCTCTGGATTGAAAGTTGCTTAATTTTATTATCATTTCATTGTTTCTAACTGCTATGTTGTAATGCAGCAAGGATTCAACCGGGATTCCACACATATTGGAACACAGTGTATTATGTGGATCAAGAAAGTATCCTTTGAAGGAACCGTTTGTTGAGTTGTTGAAAGGGAGCTTGCATACTTTTCTGAACGCATTCACATATCCTGACAGGACATGCTACCCCGTTGCTTCCACAAACACTAAAGTAAGAACAGCTTGGAATGTATGGTATTGCTCCTTAAAAGTGTTATTCTTCATTAATTGGGATCGTAATACATGGTTGCTTTATCAAAAATAGGATTTCTACAACTTGGTTGATGTATACCTGGATGCTGTCTTCTTCCCCAAGTGTGTAGAGGACTACCAGACCTTTCAACAGGAGGGTTGGCATTTTGAGCTCAATAATCCTTCAGAAGAAATAACTTATAAAGGTTATACTTTTTAGCAAATATACTTGGATAGTATATGCGTTTGCTATCTTCAGTCAGAGAGTGTTCTTTTCTGGCTATTGAATTGATCAGATTCCTGATAACTTGTATGCATCTTCTTTCTTTTCTTTTTTAATTTGTTTCTTCCGAATTTCAGGTGTTGTTTTGAATGAGATGAAGGGTGTCTACTCCCAGCCTGATAATATATTAGGGCGTACTTCTCAGCAGGCAATTTTCCTTTCCCCTCTTTTTTGCTGATCTACTTTTGGCGCAATAATGTTATAAAACATGTCCACTATTGTAATTCACATAATGTCCTAGGCAATGCGTCACAGTATAGGAGGTGTGGACATTGCATGTACATATTAAATCAATCCTTGATTAATTTCTAGTTTTCTGATCTAGAACAACTTGCATGACTGATTATTCAAGCTAGATTTGGCTTATTTGACAGCTAAGTGTAAAATTAGATGCTGTGAATAGTAACTCAATAGTAAAATAAAAAATTTACAGGCATCACACACAGAATAGAATTGCATCAAACTGCTGGTCTTTCAATAATGATAACTATTACATTTAATTTGGTGCAGGCGCTCTTTCCAGACAATACTTATGGTGTTGATAGTGGAGGTGATCCAAAAGTTATCCCTAAATTGACGTTTGAGCAATTTCAGGTACGATGCATACATTAAGTTACTGTTATATGTTTTAGTGTTCAGTTGCAAAACTATTAAAAATATACAACAGACATGCTTTTCTTCTTTTTCTTTTTTTTTTGTTTTCTTTTCTGGATTTGAAGGATTAAGAAGTTGGACAACTCTTCTTAATCTTTGCCAATCACGCCAAGTGTATTTTAACATTGATTGTGCTAGCAGTTGCGTGATTTCTAGAACTTGATGTCTCTTTTTAGGGTTGACTTACAAAATCCAAAACTTTGGTCCAATTCTCAATATTTATCTTTTTTTTTTAAAAGAACAATTATAATGTATACATTAATATTGGTGTCAATAATGGCCAACCTAGAGGTGTGTGCCAAAGCGACCCATGTACAAATGCAAATTATATTTATATTTGATAAGTGAAATGTGAAAATGCTTGCTAAAATGTAATCATTAAATTTGTTAAAATGTTGCTTTTGGTTTTCAATAAATTGTTTGAAAAGGAAAAGGGGAATATTGTTTCTCTTTCTGAATTTACCATGTCATACATCATTCACTTTCGATTTTGTGCATAATATATAGTCATTGTCAACACTTGTGATGTTTTGGCAATCATTTCGTTTGTGTTGGCCATATTTGATTCTAATTTTGAAATGGGTGCTTGCAATTGAAGGTTTCATATGGGAAAAAAATTGGCAATAAATGATACTTCCGCAAAAGTTTTGGTTTTTGATTCATGAGCCCTTCTATTCACCAGATGGAGGATTGTAATAAAAGTATTTGTGGATTTTTTAATTGTTTATAGCAACATATGTTTAGTTCACTGTTCTTTATTTTTCACAGCAACAAGGCTCATAGGACATTTTATGCACTCAAACTCTTGCCTGGTGCTGGTCTTAGAACAGTGCTATGTAGAAGACTCTGTTTAAGATTTTTTTTTTCCTGGTGCTGGGTTTGAATCTTTCTTCTGCCAATGGTTAAAAAAAAAAAAAAAAAAAAAAAAAGCTATGTAGAAGACTCTGTTAGAGATTTTTTTTTCCTGGGTGCTGGGTTGAATCTTTCTCCTGCATGGTTAAAAAAAAAAAAAAAAAAAAAAAAGAAAAAAAAAAAAAAAAAAAAAAAAGAGAAAGCAACCCTTTTGCTCTTTTTCAATTTTTACCCAATGCTTTTAATTATTCCAATTTTACCCTAATTTGAAAAGTGAGTTGCAATTTACTGTAGGTCACAATTGATAGAAACAAATTATTTTATTATTAATTAGCTGTTGGACTTTACTTAATCCAATTGTCCATTTAGTCTTTAGATTTCAATTGGAGTTAATTGGCTAAACTTTTTGGATTTGGTCAATTAAGTCATTAGTTTTATAAATGGTGGTTTGCCATCTTATGCCACTAATTTCTTGATGGCTTGGAACTGATTGGATATGATTTTTGGCTGGGGTAGAAAGGACTTTGTTCAGTTTCTGCAAATGAAAAAAGTTATTACAATGACATCTGATAAATTGTGTATCTGTATGCACTGGCAATTGAGATTATCCTCTCAAACTTAGAGCACTGCAGTGGTACCAAATTTGGAAATTTGAAGAGACCAATGGACTCTAATCGAAATGTAAAGACTAAATTGATTTTATGTTATAATAAGTTTGAGACCCAATTTGATCTTTTCACCTTCTAATAATAAAATTACATCGTTTTATTCCAAACATCGTTTTATTCCAAATTTTTCCTAGGGTAAAATTGCAATTAACTTTTCAAATGAGGGTAAAATTGATGTGATTGAAAGCATTGAGTTAAACTGAAAGGGCATGAAAATGCCTGGGTGTTTGTCCATTAAGCCATTATTTTTCTAGATCCTTGAATTATTGGCCTTATTTTGTAAAATAATATTTGGTTATCTTGCATGTATCTCGTGCCTATGGTTTCACTTATCTATGAAAAAGAATGTTTGTATACTCACTAGTACATGTGAATGTTGGCTAATTTCTTGATCAAAATTTACAGGAATTTCATCGTAAATATTACCACCCCAGCAATGCCAGAATATGGTTTTATGGAGATGATGATCCAGTTGAGCGTTTATGCATCTTGAGTGGTACTAAATACCATCTTTTTATCATAAAACAATATGCAAGTGGCTATAAATCCCCCCTGCCCCTTATTTCTATCCTTTTTTTTTTCCCTTTCCTAATAATGCATTAAATACACTGTTCCTTGGCAAAATGCTGATATGATGTGCCCAATGAAATGATTCAAAGTGAAAGTTGTGAAAGGGGGGTTGCCTCACAGGTCATGAGTGAAAAAGTAAATTGAAATAAATGAATTCCATTTAATTGGAATTTTTTTCTCTTTTATATAAGTTGTGAAAAGGGGGGTTGCCTCGACAGGTCATGATGAAATAAGTAATTGAAATAAGAAGTATATTCCATTTGAATTGGAATTTTTCGCTTTTATTATTATAGTATATATAGTATATATATGATATATATATATATATATATATATATAAAGCTATATCGAAAGTTAGTTCAATGAAAGAAGCTTCGATGAATAGTACAGGATTTTAAGAGTTCCTGCTATTTGTGCAGTTATTTAAGGTTTGTAGCAGCGCAAATTGTAGATGCTTATAGTTTTTGCTACAATAAATTTAATCTTGAAATTAACTAAATACATATGTTAAACAAGATTTGGAACTGAAAATATAGCATTTCATTTTCCCAGCACATAAAATAACTGTATTGAATGACAAAGAGTGTCACGTACATGATGATGGTTAGATAAGAGAAATGAATGTTTGTCGCATAGCAAATTAAATATGCTCAAAAATCTAAGTCTTATATATAAAGCTATATCAAAGTTAGTTCAATGAAAAAGCTTCATGAATAGTTACCAGGATTTTAGATTCCTGCTATTTGTGCATTATTAGTTTGTAGCAGCCAAATTGTAATGCTTATAGTTTTTGCTACCATAAATTTATCTGAGAATTAACTAAATACATAGTTTAAACAAGATTTTGAACTGAAAATATAGCATTTCATTATTCCCAGCACATAAAATAACTGTTAATTGAATACAAAGATGTCACTTACATGAGATGGTTAGATAAAGATGAATTTGTGCATTACAAATTAATTATGCTCAAAACTAAGTCTGAAAAAAAATTTGATGACAAAAAGCGAAGAGTGAAAAGCATCAATTTACATGATACTCAAATTCTTTTAATTAATACCTAAAATTACAGAAAAATTTCAGTTGAGTCTTCTACATCATTGTGAAATAAATCATTATCAGCTTTAGTTCCCTCCTTTTATGTTCCAGATCTAGTGGAAAAAAGAGAGAAATAAAAGTGGTTTGCATTTTTTTTTAAGATTCTGTTGAATTCTTTTTATAGTATTGCTTTGGATAATGGATTCTAGTTAGTGATGTATTCATATTCTATCAGAGTTTTATTCAAATCGTCATTAGCTTGTTATGCAAATGCCAATAAAAAACTGTAGGACCTCTAACGTGCTAAAAAAGAGCTGATGTGATATGCATTTCACACTAGAGTATGGGTGATTTGGCAATGGAATCGTATTTTTCTGTACTCCATCTGATTTAGCTAGCAGCCACATGCTCTAGAAGGTGGAGTTCATGCTCAAATTAATTACTGCTCCATATAATATGGATTCCACAGGTCCTATATAGTGTTCATCTTGACAAAATACTGGCAAATTTTGGACGAACGACTAACAAGGGTACGATTGTGTAACATTAATTAAAATCTGTAACCTAAGTTGATAAAATGAAAGTAATAGGATAAGCCTTGATTTTATTGTCTTCAATTAAAGTTGATTCAAGAATTATGAAGGGAGATAGTTTATTGCAACTCCCAAGATCATTTGTGATTTCCATCCATAATATATTGTTATCTGAAAATTAAGGGCTATGATAAATTATTTCATGGATTGCAGCATCTTACACACTCTCTTTCTCTCTCAGAGTATCTAGATATGTTCGATGCAAGTTCAGCACCAAATGAGTCTAAGGTTGAGCCTCAAAAACTTTTCTCAGAACCAGTCAGAATTGTCGAGAAATATCCTGCTGGTGAAGGGGGTGATTTAAAAAAGAAGCATATGGTATGCCTTAACTGGCTGCTTTCTGATAAGCCCTTAGACTTAGAAACTGAGCTTGCTCTTGGGTTTCTAGATCATCTAATGTTGGGAACGCCTGCTTCTCCCTTGAGGAAAATCCTGCTGGAAAGTGGTCTGGGGGATGCCATTGTTGGTGGAGGGGTTGAAGATGAGCTGCTTCAGCCTCAATTTAGTATTGGATTGAAGGGTGTTTCTGAAGAGGACATTCAAAAGGTAGAAGAATTAATCACAAGTACACTTAAGAAATTAGCTGAGGAAGGATTTGAGACAGATGCTGTGGAGGCTTCCATGAATACAATTGAATTTTCTCTCAGGGAAAACAACACTGGTTCATTTCCTCGTGGTTTGTCACTGATGCTTCGGTCCATGGTATGTTCTACATATTTTTCCCATCTTCAAACATCTAGGCAAAATATTATGTGTTTGAAAAGTGAATAGTGGATTTTTATTTTGTAGGGTAAATGGATATATGATAAAGATCCCTTTGAGCCTTTGAAATATGAGAAACCTTTGATGGACCTGAAAGCTAGAATAGCTGAACAAGGTTCTAAAGCTGTTTTTTCTCCTTTAATTGAGAAATACATCTTGAACAATCCTCATCGTGTGACTGTGGAAATGCGGGTAAGCAGTTTAGACTGAAAGTAACCTCCCTTTATAGATATGATACCTCTATTTCAACTTTATCACATGACGATGGTTTTTTTTTTTCTGTCAGCCTGATCCAGAAAAAGCTTCTCTTGATGAAGCTTCTGAGAAAGAGATCTTGGAGAAATTGAAAGCTAGTATGACAGAAGAAGATCTCGCAGAGCTTGCACGTGCAACACAGGAACTCAGATTGAAGCAAGAAACTCCTGACCCTCCAGAAGCTTTAAAAACTGTTCCATGTCTCTCCCTTCATGACATTCCAAAAGAACCTACCCGCATTCCGACAGAGGTTAATATATTTGGCACTTGTGCCTGAATGTCAGATGTATAACAGTTTTGTGTGGAATACTGTGCTGAGCATTTGTATGTAATCCATAGATTGGAGATATCCATGGCGTGAAAGTCTTGCAGCATGACCTCTTCACTAATGATGTCCTTTATGCTGAAGTTGTCTTTAATATGAGATCACTGAAGCAGGAACTTCTTCCTTTGGTGCCTCTTTTCTGGTAAGATGTTACCTCAAAAATTCCTAAAAATTTTAACTATCATAACATTAGGTTTTAAGTTGATTTTTTTTTTTTTCCACATAGTATCAAGCCTCCTTTTAGTTTTTACCATTAACCAAGTAAGCCTAGAGTTCAAATCTTGGGCACCCCTATATTCTTAGTTATCAGTACAACGCGCAGGAAGGGCCTGTTTTCTTCCCCTTTTTTTTTTCCAAACCTTAACTGCAATGGGCTTTCACCCTGTTAATGGGCTTACGGCTGAGAAATCATATCGACAAGGTTGTGGATTATAATTTTTATAATCATCTTGCCTTGTAGTGTTTCATAAAATCATCTACACATTGAAAGATTTTATAATCCTATCCTGTGGAAATAAAGGTTAGTATTCCATATCCAACATAATACAGTTGCATATGCGGACATACATGAAAAGATACATACATCAGAATAGCTCATTTAATTGTGGGTTGTAAAAAACTGAGCTGATGGGCCTGGGAGTTGTACAATCAATTAGTTCATACTCAACTGATATGAGAGGATACTTGGTACTGGTCTGAGTGTCTTGCCATCAGTAATTTCTCCTATATTAATTCTTTCTGCTGCACATGAAAATATCTCCTTCAAACTCCTCTCCATTCATTATATTTTTTCTTAGTCATGCTTGCATAAATGTCCGAAAGTCCTTGGTAGTCTTGCTTTCCTCAATTTTGCTAAAAGGAAGATAACTCTAATACATTTATTGACTGTGATTGTCAATGTGTTAGATGCTGTTTTTGCATTTATTCTAGTGGAATATTTATTTACATGTTTATACTTTATGTTTTTGACAGTCAGTCACTGCTTGAGATGGGTACAAAAGATTTGACCTTTGTGCAACTTAATCAGTTGATTGGGAGGAAAACTGGTGGAATCTCAGTTTATCCATTTACATCATCTATTCGGGGCCAGGAGCAACCATGTAGCCATATGATTGTTCGTGGGAAAGCTATGGCAGGGCGTGCTGATGATTTATTTAACCTGGTATTTCGCTGTTGAATGGATTATCAACCATTTCATATTCCAGTTTCCTTTTCTTTGTGCTTGAAATCATCTTAAATCTCTGTGAATACAAATAGCTTTCAACTACTTGAGTTATCATCATGTTGCAGTTGCTGTTTTACCCTGCAATTTTTTTAAATTCAACAGCAAATGGTTCAAATAGATTCATTGGAATACATATTAATTTCTGGTCTTAATAAATTCTAAAGCTACTTTGATTTGATGACATAGAATGTCGTAAGGATTTGTCATAGCATATGAAGTTAGTAGGATTTGTAGAAAGGTAGCAAAGAAGAAAACTATGATAAATGTTTGAATTTTTCATTCAAGCATGAGTGCTCTATAGCTGTCAGCTTTTCATATAAACAGTTCTATGATTATGGTGTCATTAATTTTCTGGATCAGGCACATGCTTTACTGCATATATAGTAGTATTGTATTATACATGCTTTTACTGTGATGTGATGCTTGCTCTATTTTTCTTCTGTTTATACAACTATTCTAGTTACTTGTGGAAGTGATTGCCTTGGACAGTGAGGATTTTTATGCTGCTTGTATTGTAGGTTAATTGTGTACTTCAAGAAGTACAGTTTACAGACCAGCAGCGTTTTAGGCAGTTTGTTTCCCAAAGCAAAGCAAGAATGGAGGTATTTGTTGATGTTGTTTTTATGAGGAATTATAAATCTGCTTGAATTTTTTCTTTTTAGAGCTCAATCTCAATGTTTGCATTTATCTTCAGAACCGATTAAGAGGCAGTGGCCATGGAATTGCAGCCGCCAGGATGGATGCGAAGTTAAATGTTGCAGGTTGGATTTCTGAACAAATGGGTGGCCTCAGGTAGGAATATTTTTTATTTGGCCCATTTAATCAATATTATCTGTCCACAACTGATCTATTTCCACTTACAGAATTATTTTTCAGGATTTTTGAATAGTTAACTGAGAATGGATCTCACCTTTTTTGCAATGCAGTCATGTCCATGCTTCTTGTTCTGAACGAATCTTTTTATCTTTGCATATAGCCAAAACAATGAACACCTCGTCTTTAGTGGAAAACTTTTTATGTTTTACTGAATGATACTGATACTTATCTTGTGCATGCATAGTTACCTAGAATTTCTACAAGGCTTGGAGGAGAAAATTGATCAAGACTGGCCTGGAGTTTCTGCATCTCTTGAGGAAATTCGTGTGTCATTGTTATCGAGGAATGGCTGCTTGGTAAACTTGACTTCTGATGGGAAAAATCTCTCGAACTCAGAAAAGTATGTCGGCAAGTTTCTTGATTTGCTTCCTAGCAACTCTGTCCCTGAAACAGCTGTTTGGAATGCTCGACTGTCACCTGGAAATGAAGCTATTGTGATACCTACACAGGTCTTGTTTTTAAAGAATACTAATGATTTTTTGGTCCCCTGATTTCTGTCATTGGAAGATGATACCTGAAGATTTACCTTTCACAGGTTAACTATGTTGGCAAAGCTGCTAACATTTATGACACTGGTTATGAGCTTAATGGGAGTTCTTATGTTATTTCAAAATACATTAGCAATACATGGTTATGGGATCGAGTGCGTGTCAGCGGTGGTGCATATGGAGGATTTTGTGACTTTGATACTCACTCAGGTGAAATAACATGGTCTGATGCTTGGCATAGACTTCCGCTTGCTATTTTCGGTTAATCGATGGAATTTGTTTTTATTTTCACAGGAGTCTTTTCCTTCTTATCCTATCGAGACCCCAACTTGCTGAAGACAGTTGGTGTGTATGATGGAACTGGTGATTTTCTACGTGAGTTAGAAATGGATGATGACACCCTTACTAAAGCAATTATTGGGACCATCGGAGATGTGGATGCATACCAGCTGCCAGATGCCAAAGGTTATAGTAGGTAAGTTGATATTATTTTTGGTTACACTGCGAACTAACAATCTTTGGCCTGTTCTGAACCTTCATATCATTCTTTTGAGGTTGCTTTTCTGAGGGTAACATCACATTATTGAAATTGTCAGTAGAATAGAGGCATTTTAAGCTTATGGCTGCAAGGGGTGTTGGAATTAGGGGTGTACATTCGGGCGGTTCGGTTCCAAACTGCACCGAACCAAAAAACCAAAAAACAAAAACCGAGATTCCATAAATTTCACTAACCGATCCAAACCGTTTACGTGTGGACACCAAACTCTACTGAACTGCAAATTTTGGTTCGAAACAGTTCAGTTAACTGAATATCCAAAATTCTTTTTAGTTCATAAAATCACAAATCTGTGATTCAACATTTCACAGCTCAAATTCACAAAATATGTAATTAAAATTTAGCAAATTCCCTAATAAATCATATCAAAACATTAGATCAAACCCATATCCACATAAATCCAATAAAAACTAATTAACTAACAACACAAAACCAACTGTAGAATCTGAAACTTCAAACTAAAGATTTCAATTTGTGATTCCATCTTCTTATCCAAATACCATGACACCTCCAAAACCTCCAAATTTAGCAAATCTCTGCTCCAAATCTACAAGAATACATAAATCACACAAATTAATATAGCTTCCTTAGTAACAGGAAGAAACAGCCACAATAGTAAGAATAAAGCTACTGATATTTTTGCTTATATCAAAATTTTTTTTGAAAAAAAGTGAAATTTGTATTCAGTTCCTTAGATCTTTCTTTTTGAAAAAAATGAATTAATTAATTCCTTACTACACCAAGGCAGTGACAAAGATTACCCAACACAATCTCACAAAGAAATCGTGCATGCAAGTTTCAAATTTTAAACCATAAACATTCAAGTTTAGGGGAAAAAAGAAATCATCAATCAAATCATGAAATCAACAAAATAATAAAACATAGGTAATAAACATCGATGATCAACAAACCTGATTGGAGGAAATCGCTGGAAAGATTAAAGGACGGCTGGACAGTAGCTGGAAAAAACACAGAGGACGAAGAAGATGCCAAGATCGGCTGTTCAGCAGCTTTCGTGGTGGGTTTTAGCCGGAAAAAACCATCAGTGAAGGTAGCAGCGCAGAGAGAGGAAAATGGAGAAGAGATGGTAGGCTGGTTGGTACCGGTGCAGATGAGAGAATGAGAGAAATGGAGAGATGATTCTAGGTTAAATGTAAACTGAAACACAATGGTAAAACGGAAGCATTTTATTTTTGCGGTTCAGCTCAGTTAACCGCATACTTTCTTCCAAACCGAGCCAAACTGAAAATCCAAAATTTTTTTAAATTCACTAACTGTTTCCAAAACCAAAAAACCGAACCAAAAAACGAAAATTTTTGTTTCGGTTTTTTGGGTTTTTCCGAAGTTTGCACAACCCTAGTTGGAATGGTTTTGTTTTGGTTGCACTTGCTTGGTGTGCTAAAAAATGGAATAAACACCTAAATTCTTTCTATTTGATTTTCTCTATCCTGTTCCTTGTTCTTATTCATTCCTGTCCTTTTGCTTTTTCTGACTCTCACAGTCCCTTCTCAATCTGGCTGGATGCTCATCATGCCTTTATTTGGTTGTACTTGGAATTGAACTGGTACAACTCTGGTCAAATGGGTCAACCAGGCAATAAATGAGAACTGAACCTGTGGTTCAACTATTTGATAATTCAAGAAAAAAGAACCCATATTACTCGCGCTTGGAAAATTTTGGAAACACCACTTTGTTATTTGTTGCTAGCTTAAGTCATAAATATTACGCTCTTATGGTAATGAGTTCGAGGAGTGAAAAAGAGAGTACTAGTATAAATAAATGGGTTTGACATCCCAATTGTTTTGTTTTAAAGAGAAGAGTAGTGCTCGTGAAGGTTATCTATGTTCTCCTTTAAGCTTCCAAAATCCCACTTGAAACCCAATTAGAGGCCAATGAGAGTAATGAAAATAAGCATTTACTTTCTCTTTTCTAATTCCATAATGTCAAGAATAACTGTCATTTTTTCTAAATCACCCTCAAACATTATAAACCCTTGTAAGCTTAATGGTAAGCTTAATGATCTTCTTTGCTTCCATTTCTTTCGATTCATAGTTGACTTCCCTTTCCCTCACCCCAGCAATTCCCGTGCAAGGCATGCAATTTTTTTTTTTTTTTTAATTTGTTGATATATATTTAATGGAAGTATATATATTTGAAACCGAGTTCATCATATTTTTATTTCGGATGAATGCTTGTTTTAAAAAATAGTGCTATTGAATAAAGGTGTTGTACATGTGAAATTGGTGAGTTGGAAATGTGAAATTTGAATGAGCACCTGTTGTAATGTCAGAATTTTGTATCTACTCTGTCTGTTCTTGTTCATTCTTATTTGTAGAGTTGTCTATTGATTATTATATTCATTGCCTTTTCAGTTTGTTGCGTTATTTATTGGGTATCACAGAAGAAGAAAGACAAAAGAGAAGGGAAGAGATATTATCAACCAGGTAAAACACGATCTTTGATATCCATTTTGACATGCTTTTCCACTTCTGAAGTTAATAAGATACAAAATCATACCATGGGTAGCGTCCACAATGGAGAATAGAATTTCTATTCTATTAAAAACAAAACATTAGCATATCAATTTGAATGATAATTTTTACAGGAATGTTTTTTAAAGCAAAGATTTAGATAAATTTCTCTAGAAAAATATTGGTCGTCTTCATTGAGCAACTTAAAATTATGAACATTATAACTGGGTTATCTTTTTTTGATCTATGACAACGATTCCAACTCACCTATTTGGCACTTGATAGATTAATATATTGAAACCCCTTATTTTTTTTCTTCTACAGATTGAAGGACTTCAAGGATTTTGCTGAGGCAATCGATGCTGTTAAGAATAAAGGGGTTCTGGTGGCTGTAGCATCTCCAGATGATGTCGAGGCGGCAAACAAAGAATGCTCTAATTGTTTTCAAGTGAAGAAAGCCCTTTAAAACCCTCAAAGACTGCAGTTTGTACAGGCAATTGTTTCTGTACATGAAAGCACCGAAGCGATTAATTCACCAATTTTTTCATGGTGCTTAACAAGTTAACATAGAGAAAGAGGGTATTTTTTTTTTTTTTTTCTGTGCTTAACAAGAAAGAGGGTATTTTTTTTTTTTTTTCTGAACTATGTACCACATAGGTACTTATAGGTAGCATTTATCTCGTACATGGTAATCTTTGAATTCCTTGAGTAAGTTATTAATATAAAAAAAAAAAAAATGTTGCATATGGCTTCTTGTCTTCACTTATTTCCTTTTTGGTGTATGGTGTGGACGTGATTGCTTTTTAGTAGATGAAACGTCTCTCTTCATTTTTTTTTTTTTATTAACAGAGAATATGCACAGGAAAGAGATGGTACACGCCTTAACAAATTTGTGACAATTAGTACAAATTTGTGGCAATTAGCAGTAGCGGTCAACTGTTGGTTTCAAAACAGAACCAGAGAGGACGAACTTATCCTCAAGGTTATGAACCAGACAAATTGATTGGACCTTTTCTGAAAGAACGGTTCTTATATACCCCAAAAACCAGCCAAAACCACTCAGAAATTGATTTGAAACTGCCCCAACTGGTAGGTTTAGGTGTGACTATTTGTATCGTGCGGTCCAATATTTGAAATGGCCATGGCCAACTTGACAAACAATTACACCTGCTTCCCTGAAGAAAGTGATGAGAAGATATGCATAACAATTTAAAACTCCATTTGTGGGGTTTCTTGTTTTTGTCTGAGAGTGCATTCTTAAGGCCAGGGACAGGGGTTAAACATTGGAAATAGCAAGGCATTTGTTAGAATATGTTTCCATGTACTGTAGAAAACGAAATTGTGGAAAGGGCCATGAGAGGTAGAATTTGTTTTTGATAAATTTTCGAGGTCACCAACTATTCCTGTTGTTTAAGCATAGTGCAAAATCTTTTCCAATAGATTGTAACTCTTCATTGTTTGCATCAACTCGTTGAATCCAGAACTGCAAATTTACTAATTCTTGAAATGACTACAAAAACTAGCTGTTTTTGAAATGCTTGTAGTCATCCATTTGTCATCCATACACTTATCAATGGAAGAACAGCAGCAGTATCTTACAAGCTCATTTTCTTTCCCGCCCAGAACAAACTAATTTCCAACATTTTTAGCTGAAGCAAAAAGTCATTAAACCAACATTCTGACTGAGATAATAAATAATAGAAGGGCAGAAGAAATAGCAGCATAATTGTAAAACTGAATAAATAAAGACACACCAAATATCAGAACTTTAAATTAGACTAATGTGACAGCTTTAAACTATCCAGCATCCATTATTGCAAACAAAAACCATTACCATCGAAAGACATATTATCTGTCCTCTGTGTAAGTTTGTGTGTGTGTGTGTGTGTGTGTGTGTGGGTGTGTGTGGTGGTGGTTGGGGAACTTTGAGAGAATTAGGACTAATGCTGACAGCTTTGTAAACTAGTCGCAGCGATCCATTATTGCCCCAAACAAAAAACCATTACCATCGAAGACATGGATTATGCTGTCCTTCGGTGTGGCTAAGGTTTGGTGTGGTGGGTGTGTGGGTGGTGGTGTGGGGGTGTGTGGTGGTGGTTGGTTTGGGGGGGGTGGGTTGCTTATGTGCAGGGATGTAGTCTTTTTCTTAACACTGCGTGCCAAATAAGTTTTCACCTAACTGTAGAGCTTACAGTGCAACTAGAGTCGTGAGAGTCGGGTCTCTTTGGAAGACGCAATCCATTATGTGACGAACGAGTTATCTTCAATGCTAAATCAAATAGATTCTGATCACTTCGGAGAATTAGTAAAGCCCTCTTCTAAAGCGTCATAATCGGCTGCCCTTTTCTTCCTTGAAGAAAGTTAAACCCGGGGGGGGGGGGGGGGGGGTGGTTGCTTATGCAGATGTATCTTTTCTTAACACTGGGCAAATAGTTTTTCACCTAACTGTAGAGCTTACATGCAACAATCTAAGTTCGGCGTCTCTTTGGAAGACGGCATCCATTATGTGGACGACGAGTGGTATCTTCAATGTAAACAATAGGATTCTGATCACTTCGAGAATTAGTAAAGCCCTCTCTAAAGCTCATAATCGCTTGCCTTTTCTTCTTGAAGAAAGTAAACCCATTCACTTTCACCACAACTGATTTCAGCCCCATATGTTTTGCTTGCCTACCAACATATTCTGCAGTTGCTTCAGCATCATACCGACCCACTTTCCCACCACCTGCCACTTCCTTATGTCCCGAAGAAGCCCACATCTTTGTATTTCCCTTAGAATCCGTCAGTGTAACAAAAGAATTATTACGCTTTAGCTTGATGTGCACAATATCAGCATTTTGCTCCACAGTGTATCGAGAAGGTTGAGAATTATCTTCATATAATACTCCTTTAACAATGTCCATGGGCACAGTGTTTTGTGTGCCGAAGTCTTTCTGCATAGAAGTGGGAAGGAAACTTCGAATCCTAGATGATGGATTAGGAACATTCTCCTTTTCACCAAACAAAAACCTATTTGTCCTAAAATTGCCTGAAGATTCGAACCTGTTGTTTTCACTTCCTTCTCTTGCAACATTATCAGGACGGGTAATACCATTGTTATTCCCTAACCAACCTGCATAATAGAAAAATCATTCAATCGATAAACACATTAGAGATTACATTTTGATAATAAATTTCTAATTCCCACATTTATTGAAGCCACTTCTAATACTAAACCTCTCAAACAGAGGATATATTCAGCAACCCGCTATTGAAAGTTAATGCATTTTATTACATTACGTTATATTCCATCAAGGCTTATCAAATGTATCCTAAATCTGTTTGTAACTTTTCCAATCTCAATTGGTTGCAAACTTAAATCTTGTGAATCAATATGCTTAAATGGGCATTCGCTGCCTTCACTGGATGAAGTTAGGTTATCATATTAACTTAGCAATTTCTCTTAGCATATTCATGTATCAATTTCGTGGCAGTAAACTCAACAACTAAGGCGAATAGTGCATACAATATAAAAGAAAAATCAATATATCCATAGATACAATCAAAACCTATTGAAACATTTTAGAAAGGAAAAATTGAGAAAGAAACCTCTCATATTTACATACCCATATGTCTTCAATCAAACCAAACGGGGAGGAGAGAAAGAACTGACCTGGTGTAAAAGCGGCGTATCTAGAAGGCATGTAAGTGATGAATTTAAGGCCTCCATGATTAGCAAGCAACGAAGAAGAAGAAGAAGATAGCCTGCGCAAGGAAGAGAGAGACCACATTTCTTTTTCTTCTCTCTAGGGTTATTCTAAATTTGGGTATTCTTCCACGGTTCCGAAATTTCAATAAGATGTCGCCGTCGACGGTTCTGCAGAACGAGAGATGAGGTTTCGGGCCGGCCGAATGAGAAACGAAAGATGCTTGATCTCGAATGGAAAGAGCAGTCGACTTTTCTCCAAGCCAAACGACGCAGTTTCTTCTAGATCGGTTTTTGCTTGCTTAGGTTAGTATTTTCTCTATAAATAGGTTAGAAAATTACTATTTAGTCCCCCCAAATTTATTGCAATTATCCAAGTTGTATGGGTGAATATTTAGCCAATTCGAGTAACTTTTTGACATGAGTATTTTTACTGAACTTCTTTTTGCTTTAAACCGAGCAAATATTTTACCAAATCTTAACCGACTCATTTTGAAAGAATTAATTTTGGTTATTAACCATGCCGAAGTTTTTAGAAAAAAAAAACTAATCGACATATTTTAACCAAACTTTAAATATTAACTTACTCTAACTGAATTAACCGAACATCATTCATGATATAAATATAACTTGAGCAACATACAGATGATGAAAACAGAAATAATCCACTTAAGAAAAAAGAAATTATCAAAACAAATTACATATTTAGCTCAAACAACAATAACTCAAATTTAACTTCAACATATTGAGTCTTCTTCTTTCTCCCTCTCAAGCTCCTGCAAAGAGTAAATTAAATTAAAATAAGATAAAAGTGATCAGCCCAAATAAATTAATCAATTAATGACATAATTATTGTAAACGCTTAAATTTTGCCCTGGCAATATGACTCAGTGATGATAACCTTTTTGACATAAAATACATTCTAGATATCCGATGAATTTGATTCTCAAACCAATTTTCTGAGTTTAAGAAGAGTGATTCATTGGGCCTTTTTCATATTTACAGGTTTTTAGGGATTTCACACCAAAATAAGAGTCCAGGAAGCATCTCGAGTGCGCCCGTGATGCTTCCCAGCATACTATCTCGTTTTGTGTACCCAGACTGATTTCGTGAAAATTGAATCTAGTTTGTTTCGAGCCCATCATTGGTCCGTGCCACTTAGGCCCTAAAATTGGGGCCACCTTATCATATTTTTGCCTATATATAGGCCAAGAATCCAAAGGTTTAAGTGTTGATTTTTGATTATCTAATCAAAACTCTTGAAAACTTATTTCTCATCTCTTTAATTGAATCTATAACAAGTGTTATAGTTTGGACCAAAAGGATTATTCATTGATTTCAAAACTTCACCGAGTTTTCATAATCAATCATCAACAAACATTCATTTGATTTTCAAATCTCGGATTATTATTCAAAAAGGAAAGCTCTTAGGTGTTCTTGGGCAATTTTCATCAATCTCTTGGGATTTTATCAAAACAAGGTAAAATATGAGAGTCTCAATACTCTTCTTCTTTTTCATTTTTGTGGTGATTAAAATCACTTGTTTCATCTTGGTTATGAGGAAAACTTGTGATCAATCAAATTGTTTTGTCTGCATATGTAGTGACGCACACCACTACTCAATGGTGCACGCCATTTTTTTTCAGCCAAACATCTTTTTAAGCTGATTTCTGGGCTCTAGTCTTGAAGATCCATACGCCACAAAAAATATGGCGCACACCGTAATGTGCGTCTAGATGCTCAAATTTTGCCTTTAAAGGTTCAATGCTGATAAACCATTTTTCACATAAGTTTGGATTGGGATTTTCGATCGCCCCGGTTTTCGAATCAACGGTCTGTGGTTGAGATTATATACTCTCTTCGTCCCATATTGTTTGTCTATATTTTCATTTTTGGATGTCCCAAAATGTTTTTCCACTTGATTTAAGAGATATTTACTTTTCCTTTATACCTCTCGTTATAAATGGTTTTAAGTTCTAGGAATAACCCTATTTTTTTTTTTTTTAAAGGAGAACAATTTTCAAAAAAGTATGGATATTTTATATGATCTGACACTATAATTAATATGTTTCTTAAACTTTGTGCAAAAGTCAATAGGACAAACATTTTGGGACGGATGGAATATGTGTTTAACCTTTTTACTTTTTTGGATTATCAGGCGTTTTGTGATAAAACCGGGCCCAAGAAGCACGTCGGGCTTGCCTAGCGCACTTTTCGATGCATCACCTCATTTTGCGTGTCGCCCAGTACGATTTGATAAAAATGGACCCGACCCTATTGCGAGGCCCGATAGTGGCATTTTGCCATGTCAGCCCTAAAATAGGGCCACTTACTCCCATTTGCCTATAAATAGGCATTGGGGGGGTGTGCCTAAAGGGGAATTTTTTTAAACATTGGGAAAACTCTTGATTTTTGAAAACTCAATCTAGAAATCAAAGGAAACAAGTGTTTCTCTTTGCTCTTAGTTGAGATTTCATTGATTTTTAGTCACTCAAGCCCTCGAGGATCTATCAGAAATCCCAGAAACACATCCATTAAACCTCAATCTTGGATTATTAGATCAAGAACCTAGCATTTGGATCTCTTTATCCATTCTCTAACAAAACTTTGAGAAAATCACCATAAGGTAATACTTGAGAGCCTTTAACTCATTTATTCATCTTTTTCCTTTTCTTTTTGTGTTTTAAGCACCTATTTTAAGTTTGATTGTGAGAAAAAGTCGTGATCAACCAAGAAGGATTCTCTATGACTCTGTGGTGCACGACTTATGGTAGCAGCGCAAGGCACTACGTGTGGCGTGTGCCACTTAACCTAAAACCCCTGTTTGACTCTATTCTTTCTTAAAACCTTCCTGATTTGGGGAGGGCTTAGCGCCACTACATGTGGTGCAAGACACATCCTTGTGGCGAACGTGACTTCCCTTGTGGCGCTAGGCCCCTCGACTAAGAGGTTCAGATCATTAATAATCAATAAAATGGTCCCGATTTGGACATCTAGTGGCAAAGCTCCAAACCTAAGTGGTCTAGGATGCATTTTTATCCACAAATGGATCGAATAAACATTAATAAGCAAGATTGGGAGTACTGTGAGGATATCGAATTTTTTTCGAAAGATTGGATTTGGAAAGAATCGTATGAAACGGGCTTGATTGATTTTAATCAAAATGGTTTTCTTTTATTAAACCCACTAAATCCTCGTAAAAGGTTCTCTTACTTTGGTAAGCGTTTTATTCTTGAGTCACCGCTCTTGTCTAGGACAAATTCTCAAATTAGTCGATTTTTTAGAATCGACTAATCCAGTTTTAAACTAAAGACGGGGTCAGCAGTTAATTACGAAATGAGAAGGTGTTAGGCACCCATTTCGCTCGGTTAGACCTGCCTCCACGTTATCCAAACTTTCACAATAATCTAGTAAATACAATTAACTAAAAATTAAAGTGTAAAACAGTTTAATACAATTTTTAGAAAACCATGCCATTTATACAAGTTATTGCAAACATAGAACATAAAACAGGCATCCATAAAGAAGGGGGGGGGGGAGAAGAAAAGATTACAAGCCATCTCCTAAAATACAATCTACTTTTAAACCCTCTAAATTTGCCAATCCCAATCTATCTATTACAAACAGGCTTTAATAGGAATCCTTATGGACCCTTTACATTTGGTTTAATAAGAATAATAGCAATAACTAACATCCATGAACAATAATCACATAAATTAATAAACATCCACAAGAGTCAATCAACAACCACAATTATTCATAATGACAAAATGACGAATGTTAGTGTTAGGATATGCTAAGGTAAAATTAGATGGGTTAGATTTACATAAACTAAAAAGCATAAAAGTAAACTGCATAAAATAAAGGATTGAAATTTAAAATGCTGGAATTTAAATAACAATAATTAAGAGACATGAATTTAAAGGTTTAAACAAGACTCAAGCTCATGGCCTTGATGTTCATCTTGAAAGATGAACAAATACACCAATCATTACTCTCAATCTCATTTTTATTATTTATTTGCTCATCCGGATCAAAAAAGAGTTTTATGCGCTCTTTAAGCAAGGATGCCTAAGGCTTAACTTGATTTGATCATGGAATCAAACCATGACTATTGATTTTATGTTGTTTGGCTTCTGAATAAAGGTCCATGCACCATTGTAAGTGGCGCACGCCAAATGTAATGGCGCACAGATCTTACCCTGATCAGAATACCCACAAATAGGCATTCTAGAGCCTTCTGGGAAGAAGTGGCGCAAGGCCCATGCTTTTGGCGTGCGCCACTACACAGTGCCTTGTGATATAAGTGTTATGGCGTGCGCAACAACGTGTGGCTTGCACCACTAACACCCAGAATGCTTCCTTTTTGGTTGATCACGGGTTTCCTTCATAACTAGTCTTAAGAATGGTGATTTAACACCAAAATAAAAAGGAAAAGAAGAAGAGAAAGGGTTTAGACTCTCAGTTTATGTTGTTTTGAAGAAAACTTTAAGATTTCATTAAAAATGGTAAGAGATACCCAATAAGCCTTGATCTTTGATAAATGATTTGAGATTAGTTTGATTGATTAGTGTTTTTGGGAAAGTTTGATTGCTAAACCCACTGGAGTTCATTGTATAAAAAGCCTCCTTTAATGCCAAATCAATAAAACTTGCTAAGGATTTGGATTGAGGGATTTTTGAGAGTCAAAATTGCAAGAGTTTGGCTAGGCAACCATAAATTCCTCCTCTTAAAGCCTACCCCCAATGCCTATTTATAGACATTTGAGGGTGGGGATGCCCCATTTAAGGCTGACGTGGCAAAAATGCCACTATAGGGCATTGTAATGGGACTGGGTCAACTTTTACTAAATCGGACCTTATGGCACCCGAAACAAGTCGGAGCACCGGGAAATGTGTCAGATGGGCCCAACGTGCTTCTCGAGCCCGATTTTGCCTCGAAATGCCCGGTAACCTGAAAAAGTAAAAATGGTTAAACACATTGGTAATCTCAGCCACAGACAATCGGTTCAAAAACTAGGGCTATTGGGAACTCCGATCCAATTTTACGGAAAAAATGATGTATCATCACTGAACCTTTTAGGGGCAAAATTTGAGCGTCTATAGTTTGCTCCCACTTTGATAATATTTTTCTTTCTAAGAAAATGGTCATCAAAGTGTAAAGTAGCCATGTACGTAAGAAAATACTTACCTGATTTGTGTGACACGCACGACTTTGATGAATGAAGTGCACCATTCTGGCGGCTTTGTTGATATTGAGTTCAAAACTTGCCTTGGGGACTTATGGTACCATTATGGCATTTGACGGG